AGATGTTCCTGTCCATGCAGCCGCCCTCGTCGTCTTCCTCCTCGACCGCGTCGTCCTCGGCTGCATCCTCGGGCCCCGGCGGGGCAGCTGGCGGCTCCTCGGCGACGGGCGGCGCTGCCGCCGCCCCCGGCGGCGGGGCCACCGGGCTGATGGCCTCCCATGTGGCCGGGTCTTCGCCCTCCACCAGTGTCGGCGGCAGCAGCACGCCCGGCGGCACCGGGACCGGCGTCGGTAATACCCCCTCGCAGTCGACGTCGACCGCCGGCGGGGCCACTCCCCAAGCCCGGCAGCATGCCGCCGTTCCCTCCGGGTCGAGCCCGGCCTTCGGCAGCACGAGTGCCGCCGTCGTGGCAGCGGCCGATCCGGTCACCGCGAGCCTGGTCCAGGCGCTCAGCGATCTGCCCGTCGAGCAGCTTCCCCTGTATCTGAGCAAGCAATTCCACGACCGGGCCTCCGAGCCGGCCAGCTACCTGAGCCTGCTGGAGCAGGTCACCTCGCATGTCGGGCTTCAGGCGTCGCTCGCGCAGACCTCCGACGGCCGGGGGCTGATCTCGAGCCTGTTCAAGCTCCAGCAGCAGCTCCAGCAGCAGCAGCAGCAGCAGCAGCAGCAGCAACATACCCAGAAGACCCAGGCTCCGCAGCAGGCCCAGCAACAGGCGGCGGCTCAGCAACAGGCCCAGCAACAGGCTCAGCAACAAGCGGCGGCCCAGCAGGCCCAGCAGCAGCTCCAGCTTCAGCTTCAGCTTCAGCAGCAGCAGGCTCAACAGCAGGCGGCGGCCCAGCAGCAGGCTCAGCAGCAGGCTCAGCAGCAAGCCCAGCAGCAGGCCCAGCTCCAGCTTCAACAGCAGCAGCAGCTCCAGCAGCAATTGCAACAGCAGCAGCAGCGCCAGCTCCAGCAGCAGCAGCAACAGCAGCAGCAGGCTCAGCTCCAGCAACAACTCCAGCAGCTCCAGCAGCAGCAACAGCTCCAACAGCAGCAGCAGCTCCAGCAGCAGCTCCAACAGCAGCAGGCAGCCCAGCAGGCCGCACAGCAGCAGGCCCAGTTGCAGCAGCAGCTCCAGCAGCAACTCCAGCAGTTGCAGCAGCAGCAGCAGGCCCAGCAGCAAGCCCAGCAGCAGCAGCAGCAGCAGCAGCAGCAGCAGCAACAACAGCAGCAGCAGGCCCAGGGATCGTCCATGCAGCCGTCCCTCGATGCGACATTGATGCAGCTCCTCCTTCAAAGCAACCCGGACGCCCTGTCGCAGCTCCTGAACCAGCAGCAGAAGCAGCAGCTCCAGCAGCAGGCGGCCCAGCAGTTCCTCAATGACTCGACCGGTTCCGGGAGCAACAAGGGAGGCCTCATGGCCACCGATGGTGGCATGCTGCCGCCCATGGGCAACATTCTCTCGCTCGGGTCGCAGCTCCTCTCCGGCGGGACAGCCGGCGGCGGTGGCGGCTCCGCCATCGGCGGGCCCCTCTTTTACGGCGGCGCGTCGCCCGGCATGCAGTCGGCCACCGGCCAGCAGCCGGGGGGGCAGCCGTCGGCGTCCTTCGCCTCGCTCGGTGGCATGACCGTCCCGGCTGGCCTGTTTGGCGCCTCCTCACCGGCCGCTGCCTCCTCCGCCGGTCCGGTTGGGTCTTCCACCGGCGGTGGCGTCGGCGGTGTGGCCCAGCAGGCCGCCGATCCCAACGGGGCTACCTCCTCGTCGATTGACGTTCTGTGCGAGGTGGCCCTGAAGTCGGTGTGAGCGTGCATGTATGTGAGCGTGCATGTGCGCGTGCTCGCCCGCCCGCCCGCCCGCCCGTATCAGGCACACGCATCGCTCCTTCTGTATGCCGACGGTCCTCTTCTCCCCGTCCCTTCTTTCCCTTGTGTTGGCGCGCCGTCGCCTCCTCCCATGGCATATGCGCGTGCATCTGCGGTGTCGCCGCCGTCTGAGCGCCGGCCGCTCAGAGCCGACCCCCCCCCCCTCCCTCCTCTCTCTCCCCTTCCTTTCCTGTGTCCTTCTTTCCGTTCCAACCCCCTCCTTTTCTTCACCCCCTGTCCTTGTAATATATGGCGATTTCAGCTCTTCACCTGCCCGACGCCGGTGTCGTGTCCCTCTGTGCAGCGATTCCCCCTGCCCTCCTTCCTTCGCATCGGGCACACTGGTTGAGGGGGCGGCGGGGCGGGGGGGGGGGGAGATAGGCGCCCCCGGCTCCAGGCGCATCCAGAAGGGAGGGTTGGGTGGGCAATGTTCGCGCCGGGATGGCAGGCCCCGAGCAGGGGTGTGTGTGAGGGGGTCGCGAGAAAAGAAAGCACATATACACACACACACACACACACACACATACACACACGCATGTGTGGCGGCGTTTGGCTGGTGTCGCTTTCCCCAAATAAACCATTTGCCCGATCCCCGGCCCCCATTCCGGAAAGAAGGCGCGCTCAGACGCGCACACACACCGTTTTTACACACACCGGCACGGGCTGCCATATGCCCCCCCCCCCCCACCCTGGGGCCGGCAGTAGCCCCACATACCTCCCCGCACCAACTGTCTAC